AAAAAAAAAAAAATAGAGGGGAGGAAAGAAGTGAAAAAAGTAGTTACACTACTTAAAAGGACCAACGCACCCTGCCTTCGCGCTCCCGGCCTTTCTGTTCCAGAGTAGGTAGGATCCGAGAGAATCCGTTGTTTCTTCCTACTCCTGTAGGGTACGAGGGAAAGACACATCCATGTTTGCGAATGAACCTTAGAATCAATCTTGAGGCGGAGGGTGGGGATGGAAGTCGCGGGGTCGGGGTGAGAGGGTGTCCTGGAGGAGTTGAGCTAAAGCCTCTCCACCTACAGCACTCCTGGACGCAGGAACTAAGCAACCAAGGTAAGGTGTTTCTATGGCAACGCACAGCTTTGAAGGACCGTTTTCTTTCTCGTCTTCTTTAGCTAGCTATTATTTTTGCCTTCTTCTACTCCCAATAATATATGTTGGAGCTTACAAAGCTGAATATCCTTAGGAAAAGAATTTTAATAGGGCGGTCGAATGAGGTTTATTTCAGTCCGATGACCATTTCTGAAGTTTGCTTTTCTGGCGATTACGGAAGACGCCTAAACCAGGGGCGGGGCGGAGAGGCATTTCTCCCATAAGGCCACGCGGTGGGGCCTAACTTTCCTTTTTCCGCCATCTTGGGGCCTGTGTAGGTGAGTGAAGTACCTGCTCTGCAGAACTTTGGGAGCAAATAACTGGGGTGGGCTTGTCCAAGTACCTTGACGAGGCACCCGCGCGCCTTGGAATCTCTGCCAGCCGGTGATTTCCGTGGGCTGCAGGAAAAGAGAGGACAGGATGGAAGAGATGTGGGACGGATGGTGTTGGTCCTCTGACTCCCTAGAACCGGTACACCGCTAATCAGAGTTAGTTCCTGGGCCTGAGTGAAATAGAGGCACTTTGTTCGCCTGCAGTTACCAGTAAGGCAGTGGTTCCTTTTGGTTGAGCTTTACATTTTCTTCCCACTCCAGGCTTCGCTTTGGCTATCTACAGTCTCCTTTTCCTCAGCGTGCGTAAAGTCTTGTTTTCTGTGTATTTCTTTACCTGCTTGGTAAATGTTTTCCTCCCTGTATTTTGTTAGATGGTAGCATAAGTTTTCTTAGGATTTCATTTTGGAGTTTGTACAGTTTTTCCACTTGATTTTTTCTTCGTTTTGGGAGTTTGCTTAGATATCAGCTGTTCTCTGAAATTTGAATGTCCTGCAGGACAGATGTAGATGTTAAGGCGTAATTATCTTGGTCCATATTCTTGAAATGCCGATTATAAAGGAATTTACCTAACAGGCTTAAGAAATGATAGAGGACAAGATGGGAAAACGTGCATTGCATGGTTTTAAACTGAATCATTTTGTTTTAAGGTCTGCTGGGAACAGGACTTCTAAAAGGCAAATATGTCTGGAAGGTATGCATTTGAAATATGGTTGCTGGGGGGAGGGGTTAAAAGTTAGTTAAGCTTTCATAAATTAGAGCTTAAAATTGGTGGGAAAGGCCGGGCGAGGTGGCTCGCCTGTACTCCTAGTACTAGTACTCCGGGAGGCCGAGGCGGGTGGATTGCTCTGAACTCACGGGGTTTGAGACCAGCCTGAGGCAGAGCGAGACCTCATCTCTAGAAATATCCAGACATTGTAGCGGGCGCCTGTA